ACATCATGATCTTAAACTCAAATGTGAATATAAATCATCCAATTCTAGGCTTCTTGCTAGCTAAGGTAGCTTCCGCCTTTTGGTATTCTTCCCATTCCTTGATGTGAGATTCCCATTCATCAACATTGATCACGACCTTTTCAGGGACATAGGGCTCCACTCTAGGCATGTTTGGAATAATATATTCTCGAACATACTCTTCCTCAGGATCTGATACGACACTCAACGGGACATACGGCTTTACATCAATTGGACGCTTGCTCTCTATCCATTTGATGTATTCTTTGGATGCCATGTAAATCTTCATATCACCTTCCAAGCTTTTAGGCCACTCAATTACTTGTTTTGGTGAGTTATTCAAAGATAGAATGATTTTATGGATCTTGATTTGAAGGCTATTCTTCTCTTCTTTGAGTATGGTTCCACTCGAGATGTCGAAGGCAAACTCTTCGGGATTCCATATTGGCGGGACTTGCTGAAGCATCCCGAATTGTCTGACGACCCTTAAGGGGCAATATGCAGCTCCTCCATTCAATCCAAGTAGTGGTATCATATTCCCATCTTGGCTTGTAATCCTCGCCATGTCAATCTTTGGCCAATTGATCCGCCATTGGATTTGATCTGGAGTTAGAACACGAATAAAATTGGCCCATCCTAAGAAAGATTGCTTGGGTAGTTTGTTTTGAAGACGAATGTATCGCTCTATTGGATTTGTTGCTGAACAAATTTCCCGAATGTTCATAAAACGACACCATGGTCGAATGTGTGAGATAAACCACGAAAGAAGACCAGTAGAAGCTTGAAAGACACCCTTCCCATGATTTTGGTACGTGTTTAGGGAAATAATAGTTTGGGCAAGAAACATATTTGAAAAATCCCACTTGAGACATGCTTGTCTTGCGATCATAGCAACTAAAGGATCCAATCCCGTTCTAGACACGGGGAATAAAATGAAACCGAAGAAGGCTAGAATGAATACTTGAGCTGAAGTGTTTCCCATTTTCCCAGGAAGTTTTGAAAGTTGGCCATTAGGAAAGATAATGAAAATCTACCAGTGTTTGATATGATTAGCTTTTCGATTTCGGAAGTTTTGAGATTAAGGAATTCAGCTAGAATGCTTACAGGACTAAGTCCAACGGGTGGCTCTACAATCCTAGGCTTGGAATTGATCCCAATGGCGGCTTGATACTCTTCCAAGGTTGGTACCAATTCATGTTCTCTAAACTGGAAAGTGGTAGTAGAAACTTCCTAAAAATGAGCTAAGGCTTGGACTAAGCTAACTTGATGTTCTACATACATGAGCTCGAGAAGATTTCCAAGCCTTTCTTGGACATAGACTTGGTTGTCCTTGGACATGTCCTTCCATCAAGCAATGAGCTCCTTATGAGGAATGAGAATTACTTGGATGTCTAGCTTTCCCATTTGAGTCTAATCATACAAAGAAAAATTCATTATTATTTACCATGGATTACGAATCAATTTTAATGCATCCATTTCAATTATATGTCCCTTCTAAGGTAAAATGGAGGTAAAGTGCATTTGCATACTTAAAAAGTAATACAAATGTCAAATTAAGTCCATTCATGCCTTAAAAGAACATATAGTTGAAAATGGGGAATAAAACCAGTGTATGAAGTAAATGCCCTTTTGTCATGCTCCATTTAGACCATAAAGGCTTAGCTTATGGTTTACAACTTCGAATACATCAAAATGAACACACGACTCATTGAATTGTATATGTCATATTATGAGCATATCGTCACTTGAATTACATTGAAAATTCACCATGGACCTATACATTCCCTCTAAAAATGAAAGAATGGCGAAATGGAGCATGTCACTCTAATCATTCATTCTAGTAAAAAGAGCATCTAAATCAACCATTGGTTGTCGTTTAGACATTTTTTTAAAAATCGTGCCAACTAACTTGCATAATTGAAAGTGAAAGGAATGGAACAATACTTACTTACTAGAGCATTTTTGTTTGGTTTTAGGTATACCAACCACAAAGACAAACAGATGCAACAAGTGAGGTTTTGACGCCTAAAAGGGTAGGATATGCTAAAGGCTCAAGGTCACCACCTAGAAACTATTGCGAATCCTGATGTTCATGAAGAAATAGAAGCTCTGAGCATATACGTTTGCATCCGCAAGATTTGATGATCTTCCAGCCGCCTCGAGTCACTGTGATGATTCCTCTACTTAGCCATTCCAGCCGCGAGTCTTTTCTTCGTTGATGATCAAATTCTCTCTTCAGCAAATCCAGCAGCTACGGCGAATTCTTCTTCTTTCACTTAGCCCTATGCTCACTTTTTCCTGATTCGATTTTCATTACTGATTCATTTGATTCTGTGTTGCAGCACCAATTCGATCACCTTTTGAGTGTCATGGCTTCTATTAATAATTCAATGTTGTGGCTGTTCAGCAAAAGAATTAGAGCTAAGTTTTCTCTCTTGTCCTTTGGTTTCTACCAGCACATATTATGCATTGATTTTTCGGTGCGTTTCTTGTAGATTAATATCTTTATCATTAATGAAATGTGCAGAAATGCCAAGCAAGTTGAAGGTAAGTATAACTTCATCAAACTTTGTTCGATTTTTGCTGAGGTTACCTTAACACATACTTAGTGTGTTTAGGATTCATTGTGATGTTATTGTGATGTGTTTGATTTTCAAAGCTATTGGTGATTGTGATATTCATTGTTTAGCTGAAGTGCATGTTAGTATGTTTTAGCATTCTCAAATTCAGTGAGCATGTCATGTTTTTTGCCCGATTTGAGTTAGAAAACCTCGAAATTAGGAGAAATGATGAACTAGACAAATGATCTCGACATCCTGAGCTTTGATTTGATAGATTGTGTGTCGAAATTTAACATCGTTTGCTATGTTAAATCATCTACGTGATTTCAAGTCAGAATCTGAAGATGTTGTTCTCTGTTTTGTGTTAATCTATTCCTAATCGACCTTGTCTGGTTCTACAATTTTTCTTATTTTTTCTGTGCATAATCTGGAAAAAATTTCTTCATGAAAGTTGTAGAAAACATCCTGATATTTCTATCCTAAAAATTTCATGAAATTTCGTGGTCATTTGATCTGTACGATTCAAGCTTGGAAAAGACGTCTTGAAACTATGTTTTGATTTGAAAAATTCCAGTTTTGTGAACAAGTTTTGTTTTACAAATTTGAGGTAGTTCGAGGCCTTTTTTGCAAAATTTAAAACCTAAAAGTTGTTCATTGGGGCCTTAATTTGACAATTGGAAATTTTGAGGACCTAATGGCAACATCTGAGGGGGTAATTTGACAAAAAACTTTGATAAAGTCAGTTCGGCCTTTAAAACTGCTTTGCAACTGAGTCCCAGGTAAAAATGGAATTACTAGGTAAAGTCATGGGGTTTTTAGAAAATTGTTAAAACACAAAAGTTGTTTATCACATGTTTTCCCAACTCCCTGTAAAATTTGACTTGGTTTCAACGTCGTTTAATATTTTCCCAATTTTTTTAAAATCACGGGCTGGAATCGAGTCGAGTATGGGGTATCTGGGTTGATTCACATTTTTCGTGTAAACCAGATTAAAACCGGTCTGTTTGGTCTTTTTGAACTTTGAAACTCACATCCTAAGATTTTTAATGATGCTTAAACAATGTCAATTGGACTTCATTTGTTAAGCTAATTGGGTCTAAATAGAACCTGCTTGAAATTTGAATTATAATTGAATAAGTGATACTCATGAGGCTCACTTCCCATAGTGTGATTGATTGAGAAACAATATCACTTGGCCTAATTGCATGCTTAATTCCTTGCTTATACATGTGTTTCCTATATGAATGTTTAGGTTCGATGTATATAATGTAGGTAGCTTATAGTGGACACTTAGAACCGACTTTAGGGGTTAAATGATATCGACCATCATTTTTTTAAAATAAATGGTGGCCGATTATCACTAACCATCAATAAATCAATCTTAGTTAGTTAAGTGATTGGGCAACCGAAATGCATGAAAGGAAAATGTTGACCTCGAGGCCAATTCAATGCTTTGATGATTGGATGTCATTGCCTTGCTTTGATTATATGCTTGTACGTTACTTGTTTGGAATGTATGAGTTCAATAAAAATTGACACCACCAAGGTAATCCATGGAGGAGGTGGCCGAGACCCTCGAGAATGGAGATTCAAGACCGATGTCCAATCCGGTCTCATTTTGTACCAATTCATGTCACCTGACCATACCTCAATTTTTCAATTCATTTTGTAATAAATACCCGATAAGTTGTGGGTTTTCTTTCTTCGTGCTTAAATTAGCTTGCTTGTTAATTTCATTGGGTGTTTACTTTACGCTCCGTTTTTTAAATACATTGCTTGTTAATTTCTTTCTAGACTAAGATAGGATTAGTTTATAATCCTAAATGGAAAAACACAAAAACAAGATGCATGGACACTTACTGGATATAGACTTTGACATGAAAATGATAAAAACAAATGCGTAGCCACATAAATAACAACCAAACAAGTTAGCGGTACCGAAAAGGTATTAGTGAAAACATTAACGTAACTTAGTCCCCATACCTAGACATCTCTGGTTCCGTAGAAATTGAAACGAAACTCCCGTGTTTCGATTGGGTATTCTAGGCGACCTCCGACAAAGGCTAGTGGCGACTCCTCATTGATAAAAACATAAAAATGATTCCGTGTCACATGGGGTATGGACCTTATGGATGAACAAAAGAATGATGCTTCTCGAGCCATGTTTTGGGACGTGCCATTTGGAACGTTTCCACGAACAATTACCTCTAAACCCACTTTCCAGAGGCGGCCTTTGAGGGGTAGGTCGCGACATCCACCATTGATGTGGTCTGTTGGTAATAGGGAAAAAGAAATATAAGTGAGGACAAGTGGCTGAAAATGGGGTGTTAGAGGGCCAGCAAACAGAAGAGAACCATTGAAGGTTGCTGAATTAATGTAAAAACTCAAAGCAAAATGGAACGAACAAGTTCTAAATTCTCCGTTCCGTCACCGTGCCTCGTTCTACAATTGCTCAATCCCTCCCAAATCCTCCTAGATTGCAACGCGCACTCCCGATCCGTCGTTGGACTTGTCGCTCAAATCGACGATGCCAGTTTCTCAGCCTTGTGCTCGCGGAGCTTGGTTTTGTTGCTCTAAAATCAATTGTTGTGGGGGTGGGTTCTTTCCCTAATCCCTCAGATGTAATTTCGCACCGCCCTTCAAACCCTAGGCGCCACTCGAATTTAGTTCGAGAGTGGCTGAGGAATCCTGGCAGTGAAGGTGCTTCAGGAGTCAGCAACTCAGCCAACCACTCTTCTCATCTAGGTAGTTTGCTCTTGCCAATTTCCGCTCCATTCTAACTTTTGTAATGCCATATTATTTGTTTGGTTATGGGTTTTGTGGGGGATTTGTTTAGTTCCGCGAATTTGTGCTTTATGGAGAAGATGGGGACATTTTTTGTTTTGTGCTCTGGATTCTTGTCGGAGCGTGGCCGTCATGGGCATTTTTTTTCCTTCTTTGGAGGTTGGCATTGTGATGAGAGTAGTTTTTGGCTCACAGTTAGATTGTTTAAGCAGAAGAAGTGAAACATCATCGCGCTCACAGGACTCGGTGGGAGTGGCAAGACATTTTTCTTTTATTGTTTCTTCATGCCCTTGCTATGAAGTGTTTATATGCCTTTTGGTTTGAATAATTAGGTTTTTGGTTTGAAACTGCAACTTGAATTTGCTGGGAGATGGCTAGTAATTGGATTGTGATTTGTAGTGATTTAGTTTGTGTGGCTTTATGTTGAGGACTATGATTCTGGATTATTGTTGCTTCAATTGGTTTGTTTTCCCACTTAAGTTCAGTTTGTGAATATATCAATTCATGAAGATGATGCGAGTGCGAAGCCGGGCTTCTTCCCCTGTTCTTGTGCTTTCTTTTTTACCTTCCTTTCTTGGGGAGATGGGGAGATTGTATGTAGAAAATTACCATGGATAGAAGATTATGCTGTGTTCAACTTTTAGACCCTTTGCTTTACTTTCATGCTAATTTGGATCTTGGGTCTAGCCGGTGTCAGTCTAGCCTCCATACTTATTTTCTTTTTTCTGCTCTTCAAGGTTAGAAATAAACATGAAGTTGAGCTCAAATGACGGAGGGGGTGTGCTTAATAATGATGTTTGAATAGCAAAAGATGCATGAATGGCTTCTAATGTGAAGGTCCCACTCCATGTTTGAGGAGTCACCGGCATTTCACTTCTCGTCCCTTGGTTTCTTTCCTTGTTTCTTTCGAGAGTTCACGTGAGCCTAAAGCTATTGGTCCTTTGACCTACATTTCATGATCATACTTTTCTTTCCCTCTGGTTGAGTGCTCTTGATATTCTATTCACAAGTGATGAAGGCCGAACCTCTCTTGACGGATGATGGCTTGGTTTCACGTGAGCCTCCCATTTTTATTTATTTCATTTTCTTTTTTGGGGGAAGTTTAGTACTTTCATGTGAATGTTGTTCTAGGGTTGATTATGTCTACCTGTGTAACAGCCCGAATTTCGATGTAATTTCCGGGATCAATGAAACTGATATTATTTCGCATTTCATTTTAGTAAGTCTCACCCAGAGCTGATCACTCTCGGGATACTAACCAATAGGGTATGGCTAACTAGTAGATGGTACGTGGACCGGGGACCCTATCGCGAAAGGGATACCGATCACGAGAGACGCTGAGGAAATATTTTGGGCCAACGTGAGCCGATCTTAGGAAAGGTAACGGATTTGGTTTGGCCAAGGCCAACGATGTACGATTGGGACGTAGGTGATTCTGCAAGACCAAAAGTGCACGTGGTCAACCAGTCCGGAACTTGAACCTAATGATTGTGACCTCTGGAACTAATGATAATTTCTCATTCTCTCAATGATCGAGACCGTCACGATACGAATAGCCTTAGGTCGATACGCGTAACCTCTAAACAGCCACCCGTTAGTGAGAGACTCTGAAATTGAAAGTTTAGCGGGTTTTGTTCACGGAATTGGGCCTGGATTTCGGTATCGATTTTCAAAGGCTTAAGAGACTATTTTTGGGAATCTGACGTCATATTACGCTGGCCACTCACATGTGGAGTTAGTACGAGTAAAAATTGGAATTTCGGTCCGGGGGTGAAAAATTACGATTTTGCCCCCGGGATGCCAGCGTCGCTTTTCGAGGCCAAATGAGGTTATTTTTCGTGGCCGATGCCATTTTTGGGTGGCCACGCTTACCAGGAGTCATTTTGGACAAAAACTGGAATTTCGACAAAAATTGGAAAAATAATATTATTTTATTCCCGAAACTTTGACGTGGATTTTCGAGGGCTTGCGCGATGAATTTCGCGATTCCGACGCCATATTATGTTGGCCACGCATATATGGAACGCGTATGTGCGAAAATTGGAATTTCGGTTCGGGACCGGAAAAATGACGGTTTTGCCCCTAGGCCATTTTTGGTTCCGAATTTTGGGAAAATTTTAAGGAAATTAATTAAATTTGGACTTATCTTAATTATGGCAATAAAGGACCTAAGTGCCCATGAATTATTGGATAAGATCTAATGTGAACCATTGGATGAGGGGTAAAATGGTCACATTGGCTTGATTTTTGACACTTGGCACCCCTAGTCTAGATGTTTGACCAAGATAAACTCTCTCTCTCTCCTCTCACCCTCATTCCGCCGAACAGCTCCCTCTCCTCCGTAGCTCACTCCCCCTCTTCTTTTTCTCTCTTGATTTTGCCTTGCCGGAGCTTGCCGTTGGCTACCGGAGCACGCCGCCGACCGCCGTGCCTCGCCGTCGACCCCCTTGTCCCCCCGCCACGCCTCGGCCTCGGTTCCGTCCATTTCTCTCTCCCCTTTCCCCCTCTTTTTCCCTCTTTTTCTCTCTTTTTCTCAATTTACGTTACGTGAACAATGCATCGCGAGCTTCGCGGAGCTCCGATCGCTGTTCCGTCGGCACACTCTACTGCTCAAAGCATGTCCATACGTCGCCGTTCGGCCCGGTCCGTACAAGTGACCGCACGATTCGCTCGTCGCCCGTACGGTCACTGTTCATCCATACCGTACGGCGTTCGCCGTGACCGCGCGCCTCGCCGGCCACCGTTTCCCGCCGTCCGTACAGGCGTGTCCGTACTGATAGTAATGTATTCCACACTCACGCCGTCCGTACAAAGGTGGGTACTGTTCACCGTGCGTCCGTACATCATATGCCGCCGTCCGCCGGGAATTCCGCCGCCGGTTTCACTGTTCATCAGTGATCGGCCGCCATTCCCCGTCGTCGTGACCCTTGTTTTGGTGAGTAAAATTCCTAAACCCGGATTAGGACTGATGTTGCGTTTTTCTGGACTGGTTTAGGTGTTATCGGTGCATTTTGGACTGGCTTAGATAATAGCAGTGTGTAATTGAGACTGGGTTGAGAATTGATTGGTAGAAATTATTATCGGAAAAATTTAGTGGATTAATGAGAATCGTTGGGGAGAATAATAGGGGTTAATGACCAATTTAGGAGTTCATCGGTGAAATTGCCGAGTATGCCCGGGTTGTCTGAATTATATTGGTGCTCGTGGTTCATTGCATTGCATAACATGGACACGCATTGCGTATGCCAAGAGTGAGGCATGTGATGAAAATTGTGCGAGAATGCGTGTCTGCCATGAGCATGTGATCACCTAAAATACCCCAAGCGTTATACGCGGGTTCGAGATAATAATGAGCCGTGTGATCACCTAAGGACCTTCGGGTCGATACCGTCCTCATGCACTTTGAAGCGGACGATGCCCGGTACGTGCCGGAAGGCGACCATCCTCATGCACTTTGAAGCGGCTCGGTTCGCAAGGAGAACAGTGTTGCGCCTCATGCACTTTGAAGCGAGTGCTAGAGACACCGGGCCGAGATCGGATGCCGCGCCTCATGCACTTTGGAAGCGTGCTAGACGCTCCGGCCGTGAAAAATTGATGACTCGAGTCGTAATAATAATTAATTGGGCAAGTGTGCCAGTGTGGGCCAGTGGGCCAAAGAAATGTGCATGACATGTCAATGACATTTGCATGCATAAACATGCATTGAATGGCATGCGAGTGTGTGAGACTCGGTGTATGAGCATGTGATTGGCGTACGTGTGATAATGTGTGCCACGTATGTCCCGTGATTATTACATATTGAACTATCTGACCCTGCAGGTCAGAGAATTGTATGATTATGGTTGTGTTATGATTTTAAATGTTTGTTTCCAGTCAGGAGATTGCATGCTAGCCTAGCCTAGGTTTAGGGGTTGAACTCACTGAGATTCGTCTCACGGTTGTGTAAACCGAAACATTTCAGACCCCCAGCCGTAGGATGCCGAGGAAAGCGCCTCTTTTTGGTATACCGCAATTCATCCAGCGGTCATCTAGTGTGCACCCTTGTGGGGACGGACCTACAGCCATGGTCGAGGAAGCTGAGGAGCCGAAGTGTTTTTCATTGACCCCTTTTGACCGAGTGGTCGCTGACCGTGTGTTTCCTCTGCTGTTGTCTAAATGAATTATGTAAAAAGTTTTCTTTGGTACTACTAGTATACATACTTTCAGAGGTGTTGTTTGCTGGTTGTGCTACCTTGGCCTCATGTATTTTATTGTCAGGGTGTATATATATATTTATATACGTGCTTCCGCTTGTGCATGATCTCTGTTTGGGGTTTGGGTCGGCGACGCTTCCTGGGACGTCGCACTGCAATCGACCAAGGTAGGGATGTTAGCGCTTCGTAGGGTACGGGGCGTGACATCCCCGTTTGAATTGGTATCAGAGCAAGGTCAGCTCGATTCCTTTGGTCGAGGTTTGGAGTGATAAGGAGCGATGAGACCCTGGGTAGCCAGTAGGGTGACCTCGTGTGCTACATGCATCTCCTGACAGCTTGTGATTGTTTTTGAATTGTGATTGTGTGACCCGTAAGTACAGGTGCGGCAGGACCTGAGGTGAGTATGTGAATCCCTTGGGTGCTGAGTTGGCTAGTTTTTATTAAGCCGCATGCTGACTGCTTGATTGTTGTTTAATACCTGCCTAGGACTTAGGCTGGGATAGATTCGTTTAAGTCTTTAATTCCTTCGTGGAATTATAGCAGGTAGTCGTAGAATCGAGTAGCCAAGATGAGTAGCGAGGGGAGAGGTATAGGAAGAATTCCCAGAAGGGGTGCAGGAAGAGGAATCCGAGGTAGAGGTCGTGCTCGAGTAGGAGCAGTAGACAATCTGGGAGTTAATGTGGGAGCTGCAGTAGACCCCCAAGTTGATGTTAGACCCGTGGAAGATCCACGTATGGAAGGAGTTCTGCGAGTATTAGAAAGGATTGGGAACGTCCTGGATAGGCAGACTCAAGGGCGAGATAATGTAGCCGGGCCGCGCGTAGATGAGAATCAAGCTAACGCCGGACAGTGCTCACCAAATGGGTTAGGCGAGATGCCCCGAGCTAGTAGAACAGTTTATGAAATTGAAGCCGCCTAAATTTCATGGTCGCGGTGACCCCGAGGCTGCGCCAAGATGGATTGAGGAACTGGAGAAAACCTTCAAAGTTCTGGGGTGCACCGATGAGGAGAAGGTGACATTGGCGGTTTACCAATTTCAAGAGGGTGCTAATGATTGGTGGAATGCCGTGGAGAATAGAGTGTTTCCAGTAGGAACGGCCTCGACTTGGGCTGCGTTTGTGGAAAATTTCTACGAAAAATATTTCTCGGAGAATGCGCAAGAAAAGAAGTTGATGGAATTTATGCGCTTGCGCCAGGGACAAATGACTGTGGATCAATATGAGGCCGAATTTGCAAGATTAGCTAAGTTTGCCCCAACTATGGTGGAGAACCCGAGAGATAGGGCGCGAAGATTTCGGGATGGACTGAAGCCGGACCTTCGAAGTCTGATTTTGTCTCATGATATCAAGGACTATGGGGAGATGTTCAGACGGGCTCAGATCATGGAACGAGATCAACAGGAAAGGGCAGCCGCTTCAGGATCGCGGTTTGCTCAAAATCGAGATAATCGCCGTTTGGGAAAGAGGCCTATGACTGGAAATAGGCGATTTGTTCCACCAGCCAGACGGAATATCGGAAAACCGAATCCCCAGTTGGGTAGATATGGGGCGTGTTTTAAGTGCGGGAGTATGGGACATCGGATCCGCGATTGCCCACGATGCAACCATCGGGACCGTCCCGTAGTGCCGCCACCACGAGCCGGAAATCAAGCCGGACCTCCCCACCGGCTAATCGTGACGACCGCCACTCAAGGAAGAATTTATGCAATGGCGCGCAAGGAAGGCCGAGAATGCGCCGGGCGTGGTCACAGGTACGATTTCTTTGTGTGATCATGCCGCGTA